ATTTTCTTACATTTCAGAATTTCGCAAGATCGCCGAATTTTCTGTGCGTGAAAAGGGGGTTAATAGCGATTCGCTCAAACCCCGCAAGCAAACCGATTGATCACGTCAACAAAATTATTTGAATATGCACACTCGATTGAAATATGATTTTCGGGCAACCCACCATAGAATTTCCAGAGTACAACGCAAATACCTTTCGTATGCCCGACCCTGTCTCTATCGTATACTACAGCGACGGGTGCATTTGAAACAAGTAGCGCCGCAATGCCGTAGTTTATGACACACGGTTCAATTTTTCGTGCCTTCGGTACAAAACACGGGTAGTGGGTAGCCTCGTAGCCTGCTAAGGGCCAGGTCATGGGCTCGAGTCCCGACAGAGTGAGTTTTTTTTCGCTAATTAAATCCTGGTCTCCGTTGGAAGCGACGCGCTGCAAAGCTCGTTACTAGTAAACTTGATCGACTTCATAACTCGGGAAGGGATTGCTGTACCCTTCTCGCGATAAAAATATCTCAGGCAGGAACCGCAGGAGGGGGTCCAACCCCCCCCTCCTATGTGGCCCCGGTTGGGTCGTCTAGCTGGTAGAAGTGGAGGATAGGGGCCAGAGGGGCAGACGACAGAATCCAATGATGGGAGACAAACAAACAAACAAAAACAAACGTGTGGCCAAGAAACAAGACGTCATTCTTATTTGGTTGGGAGTTCAATCTCTTGGGGTTGATACAGCAGCTACTTTTTTTCGATAAATACAGAAGTTGTTGAATGTTGTTGATGATACTATCTTCACATAATGACCACTTCAGTCTCTGCTCTTGGGTTGTTTTCTTTTGGGGTGTTTCTTTTGGGGGTGCCACATGCCACACAGAGTTGATCGTCCAGAACGAATGCCAATTTCCAAATTTCCTGTGTTTCCAATAACATACTAGATCGGGAGGTGGAATAGTTTTTGTGGTAATTGCACAAAAGTACCTGCAGTAGGCTCGTCCGTCTGTTACAGAAGAACGGCGGGCGGTCTATCATCACCAGCTAGAGAGGGGGGTGGTATCCATCGTCAGCCGTGAGGGGGGGGTGCTATCATCAGAGGGGGGAGGGGTGCTATCCATCGTCATCAGCAAGAAGAGAGTAAAAAAACAAAACGTTGAAAAATTCCCCGGCTTGTGATGCTGCTGCTGCTGATTGTTTGAACAGGACGCTTCCGCCACCGCTTTAGATAACAGCAACAGCAGCAGCAGCAGAGGCGACACACCCTCTCGCCCACAATGAGTGTAGAGAGGTGCACAGCACAGCAGTGGTACTACATCGTCTAGGAACGAGCGTGATGTTTTACTGGTCCCGTGCTGTGATGTATGTGTGCCTCTCTCCAGAGCAGAGTCAGAGGCCGCTCCCTCCCGCCGCGTCGCAACACAATAACAACAACCAACCGATGGACCCACAGAGACCCAATCAATATCTCTCCTCTCGCTTCCTCCGCCGAAAGCTAGCAGCAGCAGTAGTATAGGGCACACCCTGCTCCCGTCCCGCTCTCGCTGTGTGGTGTGTGCAACACACGCTGGTTGGTGGGACTCCCTCTCTCTCCAGAGAAAAAAAGGCGAAAAAAAGGCCGGCAGCGTTGAACAACAACAACAAACAACGGAAACAACAACAACAACATCATCAGCGATGAACCCCAGACCAACCAAACGTTCCCCGGTTCCCCCGCCGTCGCTAACAGCAGTGTGTGTGTGTGTCCCGCCCCCCTTGTCCATGTTCCCTGTCTCTGTGTAGTGCGT